CTTGTATTGCATTAATCAGTGGTAAGCACAAGCACACAGTACAGTGTCGAGGGGATCTCGTGCTTAACCTTTACACGCTTATGAGCTCACTCGACTACCTACCTCCCYTSAAAGAGTACGTTAAGCTTTTGGGGGAGTGACAATAAGATGAAAAAGCATACTACAATATTACAATATTGCCATTGGTAGCCCCCCATACAAAAGTACATGTTTAGCCCACCCATGACACACACTCGGACGTTGGAGTTGCGGCTGAAGGCACAGTGGATGGCACTTGATGGTGCGACGAAGAGAACCTTGTTACAAAAAGGCGGGGCGGGCGGATTCGAACTCGCCGCACGTACTTCCCGCTGTTGGCCATTTGGTATTTGTGCGTAATAGTAATACGAGTTCGTGTTTGTGTATGATAATATGAAATGCCGCCTCCCTAGTCCCCTCCCCCCCCCTCTCTCTCTCTCAAGTCGCAAGTCGCAAGTCGGAAAATAGATATATAAATCCTTCCAAGTTCCAACCCCAATTTGTTTTCCATCGCTTTCTACCCTTCCCTCCAACGCTAACAATTTTGTGTTCTGATATTTCATAGTTTCATTCATACATGTCGGTCTCCGGCCAAGGTTCGAGTCGCCCGCACCAACAACCCCAGTATCAGTTTCAATTGCATTCACAGTCTCAGTCTCAGATTCAGGCTTCTTCATATCAAATTCTAGGTCCTATGAAACGCCACTTCCCTTTCTCTTCTACAAGGCTTTCTTCTTTTTCCTTCGCGCCTTCTCCCCAATCTTACGAACACCGTCTTTCTCCCGATCTTTCTCGAAATTCCCAAAGTGGCCACACCGGCGCTGGGTATGGAGAACCGACCTTCTGTAGGACTTCGGTAAGTCTCCAGCGACAATTTGATCATCGGTTCTCTGTGCTCAGCGTTTTTGTTTACTTTCGCATTGTTCTGTTAGTTGCAATGGATCTGCATTTGTTCGTTTTCCCTTTTCTTGTTTATTTTCTATTGTCTTTTCAACTCTGTAATGTTTCTTTTGTGGATCAGTTGTCGGCATAGAATTTATAATTATATTACGATTTGTATTTGTTAGGTTTTCATCTTTTCTTCTCAAACATTTTTTTTTTTTTATTTTGTTGGTTTATGGATACCAGTGAAATCCATTTTTTCTTATTATGAGTGTTAGATGATTGTCTGTTTCAAAGGTTTTGTTTTTAAACTCACGTAAAGCAATCGGGATGTCTATGTATCACACTATGACACTAAGAGAGAAGATATGTATTTATCCTAGCTCATGGCTCGTTAATAGTGTCAAGTTCATTTTGGTTGGCCTAATTTAGAACTTTTATTACTTAACAAGTAATTGAAGTTATGCATTTAGATTGGTTAATCACAAACAATATGTTTCTTGTCTTAACTTTCCTAATCTAATATGTTCGAATGTAAGTTATTTTAGCCAATGTTTGAAAAACACAGGCAAGCCCTGTTTGTGTGTGTGTGTTTTATTTATTTATTTATTTTCTTTTTGCAAGTCAAAGACCAGAAAAAAAACTATAAGCTTAATTTAAGCCTTTGTTTGATGTTATTAAAGACGTGTAACTCCATACTGTTATACTGTTAGGGAGGCTTTTATTCCAATAGTCATGGTATGTGCTGCAAGTAAAACTTGTTACAGTTTCCTTCTTACTCAAACCAAGGAATACAAAGTTTGGGACACCATGGTCTCCACCATCAAAATTCTAAGTGTGTGTGGTCTGAGGTGGACCTCATGGAGGGGATAAAATCAATGTTGGAATTTGCAATTATGAGTGATCCAGTTGCAGGTGGAATTGTCTCAAAGAAGCATCTTCCAATTTGGAAGGTGATGTATATATTCAAGGGTTTAAATCTTTGATTGAGGAGCAGTATTGTTAGTAAGGTAAGCCAATGACTAATCATTTTGCCCTCCCTAGTTGATGAAATGACTGTTCAGTGCCTGGGTGCTGATTTGTTGACCACAAAGAAAGTTGTATCACAAAATAAATAATGACTACAAACATTCCAATTAAATAGTGATACAAAACGTGTAATTTCAATCTTTTTTTTTGTAAACATAAAACGAAGGGCTGGATAGGCTGAAATAGGAAGTTACATCTTTCTTTCTTCAAAAAAATAGCACAACCTTGGTTATTTGATAAGGTCCCCTTGTTTGTGGCAATACCATTTCGGCACACCACTGGTTGGTCGAAGACATAATAGAACTCCTTTACTTTTCTTCTTTTATTTTATTCTTTCTATTTGATATACCATTCCTTACAGTGACTAAACTAACCAAAAGTACATATGATCATATAAGTGAGCTATTATCTTGGTTAGTAAGGATGCATGACAGCATGAGCATTTTAGACCCCATTATATCCCTTTAGTGAGTAAAGTGTTATCATTCTAATACTTGAATCAGTTTTTGGACTGAGCTTTGATTTTTTTGGTTGTCAATTCACAATGTAAATATTACAAAAGAAAATTTTCTTTTTCTTCTATTTATTTATTTTGCAGTTAAAGCAAACAAAAGAAATGGGTCATATTGAAGCTCAGTCTGGTAAATGGGCAACACATCAAGGATATAGTGAAGCGGATAACAGTCCTCTTACACCTATACGTGCTACAGGTGGCAAACGTATCAGTAAACAAAAGATGTCAAAACATAGAAAATATGGGCCACAAACTCCTGGATCCAATACAGGTACTCTCTTCATCACTTCTTTGGTACATTGTTGAAGAAACCTACTTTTGAATCTATTTGGACATGTATCGGGTACCCTTACATGGCTAATTATTGTTTCATGTTCATTGGTCTTGCAGAAAACCCTGCTAATACACTAACTCCATCTAGTAGTTGTCGGTATGACAGCTCTCTAGGTTAGTCAAGGTTAAGGGTTTCCTAATTTATTTCTCGGTCTGTTATATTGATTTTATTGGCACTGCTTCTGATAAAGGATGTAATCTATCCTGACAGGCCTTTTAACCAAAAAATTTATTAGTTTGATCCAAGAGGCTAAGGATGGCACTCTTGATCTGAATAATACTGCAGATGTCTTGGAGGTCTAAAATCTTTCCCTACTCCATTGCTGCTAAAGTTTTAACTTTTTATCTTTTCACATTTGATTATGGCTATTTTGATTTTCTATACCCAGTGGTGTTTTTGCTGTTAGATTTATTTCTTCTTACTTTTTGATAGGTCCAAAAGCGCAGAATATATGATATTACAAATGTTCTTGAAGGAATAGGATTAATAGAGAAGACATCTAAGAATAATATACGTTGGAAGTAAGACAAGAAATTCTTCCTCAGTTGTATTCTCTCTATTTTTCATTTTACTTTCACTCTTAAATACTCACAACAGTGAATTGACACAGGGGACTAGACATGTCAAGACCAACAGAATTGGATGACCAAGTTGCAAGGCTGAAGGTATTACAATCTTAACAATAGCAAATTATGCCTTAGACCTAGATTCTTTTTTTTTTTTTTTTTTTTTTCTGTTTCTGAGTACTCTTATGCTCATTTTATAGTGCACAGATTGTTTAACTTTCTTGTTATACATGTATATTCATTGCTGCTGTTGTTTTCTGTGCTAACATTAAAAATTATTTTGAATAGTTATGGTTCTAAAGTAATATTTTTGAACTTTCAACTGCTGATTTAATGCGTTGTATACATGACATATTGGAGAAGAGTCTTAGTTCCAGAAAGTGAGGAAAAAGTTGCAGATTACTTTTGTGAATTGTTTCTTGCCTTAAAGAGGTGGTGAGAAAGTACATGACATCTTATAGAAGTAGAAGTGGTTCACCTTATCAGGGGAAATGATTGTAAAACCAGGATTATTATAAAAAATTTGCAAAATGAACAGAAAGTGCAGGACCATATTTTGTTCTAGGTGCAACACTGCTCTCCTTTATACATAGCCTATTGGAATTGACCTGCACACGGATCAATTTATAGGAAGAAGGTTATGGCCTCCTGCATTTATTTTAGGCCCTATTGCCTTTGCATTAATCTTCTCTAAATCATGAAAAGCTTAGGGTTAATAAGGGGCTGATAATGCTCATACGATCACATGTTGAACTTCTGAAAAATTTCTGCTTAGATCATTGGACTAGTGGTGTCAATTCAATAGAGAATAGAGAAGATAGTTTTATGTGAATTCTAACAAGGTTATATGGACCAAACAAGCTGAGCAAAGGCCTTCCTTTTGGAAGTAGTTGCATAGCATCCAGTCAATGCAATCTACATTGATTCATTGCAACTGAAGTTAATCTGGTTTGAGGTTCTTTGTTTTATTGAGCTAATTTCCATAGGTTGAACCATATATTCTTCAGAAAACTGAAAGCATTAGAAATTAATACTTAGGCATGGAAGAAGGGTTTCCTTTTTTTCCATCTTCTAGAAGAGATGTATGGATCAGTCTTGGTTTCTCCCTCCATTTGAGATCTTTAAGTTAAATTTTAGTGGTTATAGTCTCTATAACACAAGAAATTCAGGATAGTTGGGATGGTTGGAAACCATCAAGATGCATGCTGATGGTTTGCACAGGTCCCATTTGGGTAGGAGACACCACTTAAGCTGAGCTGCTCTCTTTGCTCCAAGGGCTTAGCCTAAGATACGTGGTTATTCATATAAACAAGTTGAGGGAGACTCTGAGGTCATCACTTGGATGGTGGGGAATAATTCTATGTGTCAATTGCAACTTAAGAATTCCATTAGGAAATAACTTTTCATACAGTTACCAAAAAAAAAAAAAATCTAAACTTTTCGTACATAGCTTGAGGTTTCTTTCAACTGGGTACCAAGATTGCAAATACTCTATGAGGCCATCTAGCTAGAGGGGCTCCCCAGAGGCAGGTTGTTATCTTGAGTTGGATGCTTGCATGATAGAAGAGAGTAACAAGTAGACTAACTCCAATTCTTTACTTTTTAGGAGGATGATATCTCTCCATATGTATTTGTGTTCTTATTATTCTTTAACTAAGTTCTGCAATCAGTTAGCAATCAAACAAAAAGGGATTCTTTGTCTTTGTAAGCTTAGAAAGATTGAATGAACAAATCCTGGAAAAAAAATTAACTGTTTTAGACTGAAATGAGGAAATCAATTCTTTTCGGGATGTCAGGCATGAAAGTTGGAGTGGGGTAGTAGTTTGGGGAACTCATTATGATAGGGAAATCAGGTGTTGACAGAACCCAAGTGCCTTATTGTCTCAGGGGAATTAAAAACATGAGATTTCTTCAACAAAATAGTAAATGCTAGGCAGCAGTCTAATGCTAAAATGGAAATCAAAGTTGATATATTCGTTGAGGATGAGGATAAAGTTAAGGAGCAAGTTATCAGGTCTTACTCTGATCAATATTTAGAACCATCAATATTCCACCTTATGCTTCACTTTCTGGGTTTTCATTGTTTTCCTCATAAATATCACGAAAGGCTTACCTATCCAAAACAAATTTACCTATCAAAAAAAAAAAAAAGAAAAAAAGAAAAGGAAGTGGGGATTGTACAAGATTGAGAGGCCTCTTGGGCAAGAAATGTTGAAAGCCCTTGGTGAAAGAAAGGGTGAGAAAACACTAGGAGTAATTTGTCTATTGTATCCATACTTAATCCTTAATTATCTTGTATTTCTCTCATAGTGCATTTATTGGAAAAAATGCCTTATTATCTCTCGGTCAGCAACAATGACTTGAAAGAATCGCTATTAATCCTACCACAACTAATAAAATAGGCAACTAAAATAAGAGAAAATATTCCAGAAATTAGTAATATTCAAATCTCATCGCTGACAAATAAAATGGTGATAATTCTCCTTGAGCCAGTTAATTCACAATTATATGTAACTAAAAGCCCTTTTTGGCAACAGCACATTCAATGTGGGGAAAAAAATTCTTGATCCTGAATAATGGCCTCAAGAAAAAGTGACATTTGCAACTTCAACTAAACTCTAATAATGTTGAAATTAATTAGGCCTTTTTCCTGATTAGATAGGGTCTTATGAAAATTGGGAATTTGGAAAATAACCCTAAAACAGAAAAACCTGAAAATTATGAAACTGCCATTGAGAGAAATTGGGGCCATTTTGATTTTTTTCTCCAAGGTTGATTTCTTTCCCTGTTGCATCATAATGGTACCAGAACAGTGGAAACAGCAAACAATTTTCTCATCTAAAACTTGACCTGCTTGGGAAATCCTGCATAGGGGCCTAAAGACTTCAACTGGAGCCATATAATTTAAAGCCTGTGGAACTGTCAGCCTTAGTTGTCTTAATTACCTTTAAACTAGAGTTCAATTGCTAGACATGGAATATTTTTCATCAAATGCTTCACCCTTGTTGGCATAAGTCTGAGTAGAAAACTATCCATGAGGCGCAAAATACTCTGCTATGGAAAATATGCCGGGTGAACCGTGGTTTACTAGCTGAATTAAACACGGTAGCTACTGCAGGAGTCACTTGACCTTACTACAAGTAAAAATTTTTTTAATAGTTGGCTGGCAAAGCATGATTGTATTAAAATGCTTGGAGAAGAGGGTTAATTGTCACCCATACTGCTATTATACTGGGATGTTTTGGGTTGGTAGGGTGAATGAAACTAAAATTTGAGAACTCTTGTGGTAGAGCACAGTCCTGGTCTTGGGTTGATTACAAAAGATTATAATTTTCATGTATGCAAATTAAGCTTTATACATCTTTGATTACTATAATATTAAATCCAATTGCTTATTTGACAGGCTGAAGTTGAAAGTCTGTACGATGAAGAATGTAGGCTTGACAATAGAATAAGGTTTGTTTAACCTGTGAATATATACTCTATGGTACACCTTTCCAGAGAATTGGGCTGATGTCATGTTTCCTCATCAGAGAAAGACAAGCAAGCCTGAGAGCCATGGATGAAGACGAAAAGAACCGAAAGTATACTAATTACCTAATGTTGATCAATTTACTCAAATTACCTTTTGGTTTGTTCTGCCTGACAAGTTGTGTGTGCACTGTTTAGATTTCTTTTCTTGACCGAAGAAGACATAATGAACCTTCCATGCTTTCAGGTTCACCCTTCTGTGCAACTCTTTAGTCAGTGCTATCCATTTGATGTTCCTTATATCCAATAAATTTTTGTTATGCTATGTTTTCTGAGGCAGAATCATACACTTGTCGCAATAAAAGCTCCTCAGGCAAGTTCTCTTGAGGTCCCAGATCCTGATGAGGTGAGTGAGATGGATGGAGAGGATCTAAGTTCAGGAAAGTTTTTGTGATGGTCTTTGACTGGCCAATCATCTTTGTGAACAGGATGCTGATTATCCGCAAAGGCAATTCCGAATCATTGTTAGAAGCACTACGGGACCAATTGATTTGTATCTATTGAGGTATTCCTTTACTTCCCTGCTTTTTGCCTTTTACTTCTGCAGCAATGCTAGTCACCGCACATGCCATTTTGTCACTAATTTGATTTAAATTCATGCAGTAAATACGAAGGACAATGTGAGGATATAAATGTCAGATGGACAAAATTACCCGATACTTATACTAGGAAAATTAACCATAATAGAGAAGCCGATTTGCTACAAAAGATCCAAGATACAACGTTATCCGAGTCTGGACAGAACCAAGATAACCAAAGGATTTCATCCAGCTCGCTCAGTTTACCTGGGATTCAGAAAATCGTACCTTCAGATTTCAATGTAAGGATAAATAGAAGCTTCATTTCTCACTTTCAGAAGCTAATTGAAGGATATGTAGAACCTTCATACTTTCACCTGCTGAGTCACAAAACTTTGACTTCCTTTGCACTGGTTGCAGATTGATGATGATTACTGGTTCCATTCGGATCTCGAAGTCAGCATTACAGATCTGTGGGGTAAGCAAACCACATAGACAGTGATCACTTTCTTATTTGGTTGCATACTAATTAAAAAAAAATATCTGACGCTTGTTTATTCTATCATTTTGCTACTCCTTTAGGGAATGAGGAATGGGCTGAAGTGGATGAATTCCTTAAAGATGAGTTTGTAATGAGTGACAATGCATTAGAACAGCCTCAGATGCTGCCAGGCGCTTTCCAAAAACACAGAGAAATAGAGATGGATCATATTACTGAGAAGACTTGAAAGATGTTCCTTCGTTTTACCATTACCATCAATGGTGTAAATTTTGTAACTAGATGGTTCTTTTTAATCATATCAATAATTTAGGTTTTGTTTGGAAAAGTTTTTTTCTTTCGAGCTTTGGGCAGTGCAAAACAAAATACTGCCAAAAAGTGCTTTCCACGTTAGATAAAAATCTATATTACTTTAAAAAGCACGAATGACCTCAAGAATATTTTTAGAATTTTCTAAGGATAGAATTTACCCATCTATATTTAAATTTAATGATAAAAAATGAGGGCAAATAGGGTAACCGGCTCTTAATATTAAATAAGTTGAAAATAGGTAGTTTAAAGATATTCAATGTATTCAATTCTCTCTCATTAAATGCAACATTTAAGTTATTAACTTGCATTCATTTTCATTGAGTCTTATATTTAAGTTATTTTTGTTTTCTTTTCATTATTAAGTTCTATTATTTAAATCTATACTTGATAAATTAATAATAACATAAAAGTTTATACTTTTAAAATCTACCTAGCAAAGATAGTGTTTTCATCTAAGTGGTGGTCAGAAATTAAATCATTTTGGGTCAAATAGGTTAATTCATGTTGTCATAATTAAATAATAAAATTAAAAAATAGATAAAATGAAAAACAATAGAAATTAAAAAAACTAGGAGCATTTTTAATATACATATTCAACAATAAAAAGTATGATAAATAAGAAATGTTTTTATTAATGATGGAAATGGCAAAATTTAAAACCAATTGGAAATAAAAATGTTTTCCTTTTCTCTCATTAAATCCTATATTTAAGATATATTTTTCTCATCATTAAATTCTTATAATTAAATCTGCAATATTAATTTTAATAGTATAAAAATAAATATTTTGAAAATAAAACCATTTTCTTCCCTCTTAGTGGTGGGTAAGAAATTCAACTATTTGGGGTCAAATGGATTAATAAATAATGCCATAATTAAATAATAAATAATTAAAATAAATAATTATGAAATGTAAGAAGTATTTTTATTAATGATGAAAATGGTATGCCAAAGTCAAAATCTACCTAGAAATGAAATGATGTCATAGACAAATAATAAAATTTTTAATAATAGAAAATACAGAGAATCACAAAAATAAAAAAAAAAGATAGAAATAATTTTGGGCACATATCTAATGTTATATATTTATAAAAAATAAAACATTGGGTACATCTCTAATATCGTGCATTCATTATATTGAACAAAAATAAGTTTTATACATAAGAAATAATGTTATCAATGATGGAAATGTAATACAAAATTTAATGTCAACCTAGAAATCAAACAATTATTATTTTTAGATGGTGGGTTAGTGGTTTGAGTCAAATGATACCATAGACAAACAAAAATTAAGTATGATAAGTAAAAAAATATTTTATATAATGTAAATGAAATATATAATTTAAAGGGAAAATTATAATCAAAGTCGATTGTACATTTAAAATTAGGTTGCAGGTTGGTCTAGAAACCAATAAAACTCTGACAACCAACATGGGATTCTTAGTCCATGTTGGACATAGAAAAAACCTATACCGAAAATAGTTATTATTTTCTCTCCCACTCCCTTTGTCTGTCGATCTCCCTCCCTTCTCTCCCACTCTCACAGTCATCTCTCGATCTCCCGCTCCATTTGTCTCTCCAACTCTCTCAACTTTGGTCTGTAGGCAAATCAAAACCTTTATTTCTCCTTCTCTCTCTCTCTCTCTCTCTCTCTCTCTATTATTCTCCCTCACTCTTCATCTCCGTCAATATCTCATTCTCCCTTAATCTCTATTGTTCTCTAATTATTGTAAATTTCATAACCAAGAGCTTCTTGTGGATTTTTATCAAATTGGTGTAATATTTTTTTTAACCATACCAAGTTGGTCTCATGCTTTTTTATACGATCTAATTAATACCATATAAGTGTGTGAGAAAATAAAAAAAAAAATGAGAGATGGAGCGGGAGAGAAACTGAGAGAGAATGATAGAAATTAAGGGAGAATGAGAGATCGATCAAGAAAGAGAATGTGAGAGATTGAGGGAGAATGATAGGTAGAAAGAGAATGAGAGAAATTGATGTAGCGAACGTAAGTACAAAAACCAAAAACCATTTTTGTTTATTTTCAAATCACATAGTCGTTGAGCAGATAAATATGACCATGAGTGAGAGAGTGAGGGAGATTGAGAGAGAGAGAGAGAGGGAGAGAAACTAAAAACCTTTTTTTTTTCCAATCACCCAACATTAAAGGGCAATTTCAGTATAAGTTTTTTGTTGTGTCTAACATGGATTAAGAGTCCCATGTTGGTAACAACCACATAAACCTCCGATGACATGGCGAGGGTTTTTATAATTTGAAATGTAGAGCCAATTGTTAGAGTTTTGTTAGTTTATGGACTAACTTGTAGCGTAATTTAAAATGTACAACCAACTTTGACTATAAATTTTCCTAATTTAAAACTAATCCAAAAGTAAAGATATTTTCTTATCTAGATGGTGGGTCAGTGATCCAACTTTTCAAAGAAACCCATGATGTCATTATTAAAAAATAAATATTTAAGTTTATTTTTAATCATATTGTTACTTTTTTTTTTCAATTTCTATCTTAACTATGATATATCTAAGGCCTCATTCACTTTTAGGTAAGTTACTTACCCGAGTAAATGCAGTTACCTAGGTAAGTTTTTCCTGGGAAACACTTACTCGGGTAAGTGCGTTTACTCGTATTCTTTTATTTCTCATGTAAATAAGACAATGACTATTTTAGCCACAAAAATCTATTATCAAAAAGGGCATTTTTGTCTCATTCAAGTGTTGGCAACTTTCCCCTTAGGTGGGAAAGTTATTTACCCACCTAGGAGATGGGTATCACTTACTCGGGTAAGTGATACCTAGGAAAATAAACTTTCCCTAGTCCCAACATAAATATGAGAAAAGAACATGGGGTTTTTGGTCAATGGGAACCAAAATCCCATTGACCAACTTTCCCCCCTCTCAAAATCCAAAAAAAGAATGCACCCTAAAATCCAAGTAATTAATATGAAGAAAAATTTCTCACGTGCAACACATGTGCTTAATTACTAGTTGTTTTTAAAAGCACCATAATGTAAAGTCAAAATATGTTTTGAAGTCCTAAAGCATGTAGCCTAAGGGCCAATTTGGGAGGGTTGCTTTTATTGGGCTACTTTAGAGAAGGGAGAAACCATGTAGGTGTTTGGCATCGATGTTGTTGCTCAAGAGATGTTTTTTGAGAAAACGGTGCTGTATACATGAGGGTCTTTTGTACTGTTTTCTTAGAAAACGACTCTTTTTTTCTGTTTGCCATCGATGCTGCCACATAGGCAGTTTTATGAGAAAACGGCAGTGGTTTTGTTTGGTGCCAGTGCTGTATAACCGTTTTCAGCATTGGTTTACATTATCCAATGCCCAAGATGATGCCATGTCATTGCACCGCTGGCAACAATAGGTTGTTTTTTGAGAAAATATTGAATTTGGCGTTTCTTCAAACTACACTTTCTCAATTTCCAAGGTATAGTTTGGAGCAACCTTTTTTTTTTTTTGTAAAAATGATGCCAAATAAGAGGTTGTTTTCTGAAGCACTACTTTTTTTGATGTGGCACTGGTGTGAAACAGCAATGCCAAACACCGCCTATGTTTTTAGGTTTCAGACAGTCACTTTTTGCTTCCCAGGATTTTCACCAAACGTGACTCATAGGCTATCTGGGTGGGGCCCACCTCTCAAAGCCAGAAGTCACTGGATGAAAGCCCTCCCAACAGGCACTGAAATTGGAGTCCAGATCTACTGGCCCCAACACTTTGTTGGCCATACTCGTCCAGCCGCACATGTGGAACATTGATTGTGTTGTGGTCACGAATATTCTAGACATGAACTCCTAAAATTGAGACTTCACAAGCACAAATCCTAAACCTATTCAAACGCAACATTAATCATACTTTAGGGGATATAGGGGTCAGTATAAAAGGCTGAATTTAAGGTGAAAGGTAGAGTATGGTTTTCAAAACTGGATCGGACCGGATGGTCGGACTGGAAAAATTGGGAAATGGTCAAGTGATTGGTTCCGTTTTCCCCAAAAGCCGGATTTCTCCCCAAAACCATTGATTTTGGTCAACGAACCGCTGAATTGGCAGTTAACCATTCAAAATGTTTAAACGGTTTTGAGCATTTTTTTTTAATTTATTTTTTTTATCAGAATGGTCCAAGCATTTGGTTCGAACGATCGGACTGTTCAAACAAATAACCGGACCCCTGACCGGTTCTGTCACCTGTTCTGTTTTAGAAACCATGAGGTAGAGTATAGAGAGGCACTGAACAATGAACATGTGCCATGTCTGCATTAGTGCAATCCACATAATGGCAAGATATGCCACGTTTTTAATCCACACGATAGCCAGCTTATGCCAATTTTTATTCCACGGAAAAGGCAATGTACAAGGAAGGTATTGGGCGTATAATATTCTTTTAATCTTTTCCACAAAGACGGACAGATGATTGACTCGGTGAAATGGGTTGGCGCTTGGGGTGATCATTTTAGCCCGACCCGAAAATTCCGGGCTTGGGCCTGGGTTTTGTGTTCAGGCCTAGCCTGGGCTCGGGCTCATATCAGCCTCGCAAATTTTAAGGCCAGGCATGGGCTTAATATTTTAAACCCGGCCTGGGCCTGGGTTGGCACACATATCTTTAAACTTACACATTTTGTGTATAATTACATATGTTATATATATATATATATATATATATATATATATATATATATATATATTTATGTATATTATATATTTTATATATATTATAAATTAATAAATATGCATTATGTATAAATATATATATTTATAATATATATTGTAAAAATTAAAAAACCAAAAAACCGACAGTTAATCGAACCGTTCAACCGATTAACCGATGGATTTTGGTTCGATTTCGGTTACCGGTTTTCCAAAAACTGGTACTACCAGTTCGGTTACAAAATATACCCTACGGTTCAGCACCCCCTAGTTGTGCCATGCTTGCTAGGCCTGGAATCCCTCAAGAGGAAGTTTGGCACAATTTGCAGCATGAGTCCAAATGGGCATCTATAGGGCTAGGCTGTACCACATGCCTGGGTCAAGCTGGGCCACGGTCTGAACCTTTTTTTTGTTTAGTACTTTCACATTTTTCTTTTTCTAAATGAAAATAACAAATATTGTGGAAAAAATATGTAACAAAATAGAAAAATAGACAACAAATTGGTGAAAAAATAAAAGAAAAATATTCCATCTAGCAAAAGTAATAAAATCATATTTGAAGTAGTTAAATCAAATTACTGATAAAAATAATAAAATTAAATTGAAAAATTACAATATAATTGGAATAAAACAATACAATAAAATTGAAAATAAAAAATTACAATGGCGTTGAAAAATCATGAATAACTATTACAAGTATTCATGGGCAAGAGACAAATGGCTGGGATACGGGGATCTCATCTAGGGCTACAAGGGCTCCTCGTTGGAAGTCTATTCATGCCATCCTTTCTTCTTTTCTTCCTTTTATCAGGTATGACCTTTGCTGTAAGTATGTCTGTGAGATTCTTGGAACATATTTGGGTGGGAGACATTCCTTTGAAAGAGCAGTTCCCCTCTTTGTTTTCTCTCTCAAGGTTTAAAAATGAGCTTGTAGCCACCTTTCTTACTTTGTTTGATTCTGTTGTTAATTGGAATTTGGGTTCTGAATTGGATTCCATCTCTAACTTACTTAAGATTCTGGAGGAGGTAGTTATTGACTCCTCTATAGTGGACAGTAAGGTGTGGTCTCTTGTTCTGTCAGGTATTTTCTCTTGTTCTTTTTTTTTTAAAGAATTAACACAGTCCAATTCGGTCATTGGTTCTCCCTTCCCAATCTCGTAAGTTTGGGGTGGACCAATCCCTTCCAGAGTAGGTGTTTTTTGTTGGGAAGCTATCATAGAAACGTGTAACACTTGTGACCTACTTATTAGTTTTATTTGTTGGGAAGCTATCATAAGAAGAATGGTGAGAGATGTTATCATTTATTAGTTTCTTGTCCCTTTAAACTTTGATGGTAGCAGTGAAGGAAACCCAAGCCCTTCAGGTATAAGTGGAGTATTTCGGGATGAAGGTCAAATTATTGCCATATTTTCAGCACCTATAGGCTGGGGGGATTCATTGAGAGCTGAAATTTTGGCAGCTCTGGAAGGGATCAAAAGAGCCCAACAGGTGTGGAAGTTTCCAAATGAAAAGAAAAGGAAAATCAACCAGATTACTCGAAACATGCAAATTCAGGTTCAATGGGCCAAGAGGTGTGCCAATTCTCTAGCAGACTCTTTGGCCAAACAAGGGGTGGGAAGAGCAAATCTTTTTTGGGCTGTGTTGTAATTTGACCCTTAATGTTAGGGAGGGTTAAAAGTTATGGGTTGGTTGATGTTTATATCGTGCCATGTCCACGTGTATCAATTGAAACTGATCCATATGGACCGATACGGATGTAACGGATCAAATGCTGGTAGAATGATTTATATTCGCTGGTTCACTTTTTCAATACATTTTCTTATTTTTCAAGTCTTTCATTTTCATCCTAGGCACTTGTAGGAGGGCTTCAATTTAGGAAAAATATGCATACAAAGACATTAGTCTCACTGCTTAAGTTTTTAGGGTGTCACGTCAATAGTCTCACTGCTTCCAAAGACATTTTAGTGGGGAGGATGTCTTTGTATGCATATTTAGGCACTTGTAGGAGGGCTTCAATTTAGGAAAAATATGCATACAAAGACATTAGTCTCACTGCTTAAGTTTTTAGGGTGTCACGTCAATAGTCTCACTGCTTCCAAAGACATTTTAGTGGGGAGGATGTGTGGGTAAAATCATCGCAACGGGCTCATACAAGCAAAACCCGCACACACATTCTGAATCTGAGATTGAAAGCATAGGCATCCACCGGTATATTGAGCAAAATCATCACTGTTTGTGTGCTGGTTGGTAAGTGGTAACTATCAAAAGTGATATGTATCGGCAAATACCATATTGATACAAACTTACCCTCAACCACGTTCAAAAGCTGATATGATTATAAACCAATAAATTGAACAAAAGGACAAAGATTAAATGTACATCAGAGTTGCAAAGGCTGCTTTATTCCTGGTTTGCAGCAGTTCTGGTTTTCCTCAATCTTCCTCGTGTTACCCGGATTGCTTCCTCCATGACACTCTCTTCTGGCTGGGAGTTCACATTTCCATTACCTGAAAATGGAACTGGTTCAATCTGCATTGCTTCTGCTTCACCCCGCGTTGATTGGCTGGCAGCTTCAGCACTAGGCTGACCACCGGTTGTTCTCTGTGGACGTACAGCTGCAGGGGCTGCTTCTGATGCTGGAACATGTTGCTGCTTCTCGGTTGAAGCTAAACTGGAAGTGCGTGATGCTGGAACATGTTGCTGCTTCTCTGTTGTTGAAGCTAAACTGGAAGCGCGTGATGGTGGCTTTTGCACTTGCTGCTGCTGCTGCTCTGCATTCACAGCTGATTGGGGAGTTGGATATTTAAGAGCTTCCCCACCACCCTGTTGTTGCTGCTGCAATGTTAACAAAATGTATTTCAACAGTTTATAATTGGCTGTAGTTTATTCTATTGAATTCCAATAAACCGACCAGATGTATCAATATTTTCTTTGCTTTAAATCCATCCAATATCGTAAAAAGCATAAATTGGTGTGTGAGATGTCCAATTGGAACTGAAAAAGCTAGAACAGTTGCTTGCTGCAGTTTCTTTGTTGTGCAACTTAATTACTTCATGGCTGATAGCTATATTTCTTGGCAGCTTTAGTTCTGTGGCAAAACTTTTGCAGTAGAAGCAAAGGCTTTAAGCATTAGACAATCAGTGGTAATATGGTTATCAGACAATGATAACCATTCATTGCAGTATAAGTGAAGCATTAGACAATCAGTGGGATATTGTTAGTTTATGCTTTTTGTTCCGTTTCTTTATTTCCTATATTTCCAAATAAATCATGCATTTCCTGCTTACAAGCAAAGCTTAATAAAAAACATAGTCATCATTTCTCAACTCAGGAAATGCTATCGGCAGAAATGATATTAAAAAACCTGTTTACCAGACCTAATTATCCTTATCATTTGGTACCTGAGCAGGGCGAGGTCTTGCGATTGACTGGGATGCAATAAATTGCAGAATCTCAAAAACCCTTGCCTGACCATAGGTTGCAGCCATTTGCCAATACATAAGTGCCATGTCCCCAGCTCTTGCCCTTAATTCTAACAAATGACGATCAATTTCAATCTCATGCTTTGCAATGTATGGACGGAAGAAGGAACCATAAACATACGTTGTGCCCTGTAAAAATAAGAGTAAAATGAGAGGGGGCCAATAATTAGGCAAACAACAATAAACAAACATCATTAATTCCCCAAAGCCCAAATACAGACCATGTACCTTTGTTTTAGGGTACCACAGGTATATGTAGAATGCCAATTTAGCTTCACCGTACATCGGCAGCCTTTCAAGAAATCCATAGAAGGATCACTTTCAAAATACAGAAAAAAGTATATGATGGCAAATAGTCGGTTTCTATATTGAAGTTAAAATTCCTTACCATGAAATAAAGGTGTCCCCCACTCTCTCAAAGACGGTTAGAACTGCAACTAAAATCCTATAAAACGAAAGAAACGTTTCTTTAACTTCGAAATTTGTCTGAAGCAAGTTTTGCTAAAGAGTTGACTTCATCATGTCTCAAAGAACTTAGAAAAAGTAAATCTACTTACCAGTATTGGCACCAAAACCGAAGATGCTCAATTTCTGGCTTATTCTTCTCCACAGTTTTAAAGCACTCGTAGGCGGGATAAGCATATCCAAATACCATACTGCGAGCATATAATCAGAATATTAAATTTCTATAGCAAATAACGCAACAGCCTATACAAAAAGAGAAACAATGGAATTTCTGTTAGCAACATACACAAGTCCCCTCGTAAGAAATGAACCCATAATTTCTTCTCGCTAACAATGCAAAGAAAACGGCTTTTTCCCTCTACCCCAATCTCTCCAAAAGGTGTAACTAGGATGAACCCTAGCAATGTGGGAAAGATATTTCCGATGTATTGGCAATTTGTTCCTGCAAAACAAATTCTGATCTTCAACTCAGACAAACAGAATAATTTGAGGAAATAAATGATAATGATAAAATGTAGCATAAGGATGGAAAACTAGCAAACGACCCAATATGGAAAACTAGCAGTTTGGAAGGATGGAAAGCAAGAAAATATTAGGAGAGAGAAATATGAGAAAGCAAGAATTGACACTTCAAATTACCAAGGGAAAGGAGTTTAAGAAATTAATCAAAATCACCAGGAAAAAATGATGAAAATCAAGAAATAACACTTGATGTTGCCCATAGGAATCAAATATACAGCAGTGTATAGCAAAAACACCACCCATTACCAAAATCAGGGCAAAAGAAACTAAAAAAAAAACACATACATTATCAAAGTGAAACCAATAACAACAGAGTTCTTGACAGAAAACCTAGAAAAAAGAAATGCAAAAGCAAAATCGACGATCATGGAAAATGTGATAATAGAAAATAGAACCAGATCTCATAAACAACGAACAGCAGTAAAAATCGAGTTCGGGGGAAATCTATTAAAATAAAGAGAGAATAAAACAGAAAAGAAAAGAAGCATCTGGTCCTTTTGCCAATTACCGCGAAACAAACAGAGGCGGAACTCCAAAATGAGAGAAGAGGGAGAGGCTAACAGTGAAACGAAAGCGACGAATCTGCTGGTTTGAACGGTCTTGCAGAGGAGAACCGGTTTATACTTTTTTATACAGCCCACCGTTGCTTCCGTACGGACGAAGCGGCGCGGCCGAAACGCTACGAGAAACCGGTTCCGCGTCGGCGAGAGAGGTGTTTGTTGAGAGAGGAATGGATATAAAGGGAGAGAGATTTATCGTTTTGAATTTTCCCATTCGTGACGTTCTCGGAATCGGATATGTGTGAGTTCGCTTCGCGAAAAGGGAGTGAATAGACACGTGTGTGGATATCCATTCCTATAATTTGATGATCTGGATTGATTCAAAGCACTCAAAGTGAATCCAATGGTTGAGATTCTACCAAATTATTTGAATCGCACCAGATGCACAAACATATCGTATGTAAGCTATCGATACTCAAAATGATTAAAATGCCAAATACATTTATTTATATTTTATTACGTGGAAAATGAACAAAAAGAGAGAGGAATGAGGATCAAAAGCAGGCAGGCCGCAGGCAGAAGATTACCGATCAAGCCAAGTATCATAGATATAAGATATGTGACTGTGGTTATGGTAACGGACAAGCTACTTACTTCTACTTATGCGAAAAGCTGGAGCTTAAGATCTACAGCCCTGGCTTTGGCTGCAGGCTTTATCCAAAAGCCCTGAGAGTAGTTTCACTTGATCAAAGAGAGATTCTAATCCGAAGGCCTATTTGCGAATTCCGTAGGAGAAGTTTGGTGAACCCTGAACCGTTAGGGTAAAGTGAACCGTTGGAATTGGAATTGAGGTCCGCTGGGCGACTGACAAGTGACAAGCGGTGACGTGTTAAAATTATAATGTTTGTTTGATTGTTTCAGAGGGGACCGGGGAGATGCGACCAGGTAAAAATCTAAAATCCCGAAGATTAAGACGTAAGCAATACTGAACGTCCAATTTGTGCATTGAATACAAATGGACAAAGTCGAGAGGTTCGTGGTATGGCAATGTCGGATCCCACTCCAACTCAATCAAATTTAGACCGTTTAAACTGTAGGTCATTATAACAGAATAACGGAACGGAGGTACAGATAAGGCAAGATTCAATAATACTACAATTACTAAACCCAGGTTGCTAACACGGACTAGCAATTTCAGCCTCACTACTTTTAAGTTTTAACCATCCATAATCCATTATCCATGTTTGGAGGTTTCTAAAAGTTGTGTATGGAAACATTTTTGTTCCAGGCCGTCCATATTTGTCCACAGTAAAAAAACAGACTTTGTCCTCCTCTCCTCCTATCTGGTTTTTTTTTATGGTGGATTCCTCTTTATCTGAAACATATCGTAATTTATATATAGATCCTATAATTTCTATCCTCTATAGCTATATATAGTTGTACCAAATTAACTTTTCTTTGCCGTTGCTGATCGACTTGCTTTTTCTTTATTCCTTTCTTTTTATTGATATAAATATAATTGTGGTGTGTGAATTGTGATCGAGTGTGTCCGGGCCACTTGACCATAGATGAGCAAAAATAACTTTACTTTGCAATTGCATCATATTTAAGGGATAGATTATAATTCCACCTTATAAAGTGCTTAAAAGTAAAACCCCAATCCCAAACGAAAAACCCAGATGATGATTGATGACATTTATCCATCAGCTGGTTAATTATTTATAGTGATAATAGAACATCGTGCCACCATTAACCTGTGCATAGTAAAAGCACATGCTTGTCTGACTTTTAAATAGGACACAGTGCCTCAAGTTAAAAGCTGCCTTGGACCATTTACACAATCTTGTAGCTCTAGACCGGTCCAGGAGCTCATTAATTTGGCTCAAGATAAGAACTTGATTTATTATAATAGTTTAATTTGATACGTGCCAACCAGCCATGCATAGAAGAGAGAAAAAACACTTGACATATAATAATAGTACTCCATGGATGTCTCCATTCAATTTCAATTTCAATTTCAATACGACTCACTGAAATTATTAGTTAGTCAACAATTAAAGATTGCAACCTCATATAAAAATATTGGCATCCATATATGGTTTATTGTACTGATGAGCAGTACTCTAAAACAAAGTGATCGTATACATAGATACATATAATACAAATCCCAGTTATATCAACTTATAATTAATTAAGCGTAAAATGAATTATATATCCATATTTAGAACAACAAGCCTTGACGTTTAGCCGCTTGTCAAAGGCAAATTTCACATTGTATAATAATAAAGATATCGCCACTAGGCTCAAAGCAATTAGGGAAATGGTGTGTTAAATGAACCATCACTAAAAGACATGCAGGAGATAATAAGAATGGTCCATGTGGTGGTTGTAGAGCTGACCAAAGATTTTTGGTATCTTAACCACATATCACCCGCTGTAGCAGCCTTTGCCATGTGGACACCTTCCTATTATTTGCTTTCTTCCATTATAAAACTTGAATGATTGGGAATAGTAAGGAAACTTCAGTGTGGGTTGAGCACTGACTGAACAGCTAGTCAATACAGAGCATAGACTCTCCTCTCTTCTAATTAATATCTATTTTATGTTGGACGCAATCCCCATATATCTGTCAACTAAGGATTAGGTCGTTCTGTTTCCCGAAAAAAAAAAAAAAAAAAAAAAACGTATTCTGTTTGTTATTAGTTCATGTGGTTCAGTTGAAATTTTGAAATAAAGAAGAAAATAAATAAATAGAATAGAGGTGGTCTGTGATGAAGGGTGATTTAGCCCGACCTCGTAATTCGAGGACACGTATATATGACCTGGCTCAGTGAATAGCTCAACCTGACAGTACGACCACGATTCAATGGGAGAGACACGCCGAGTCCAACACTGGCCATTCGGCGGGCTAAGCAACTCACCGGGGACTGACGCCTTGCCAACTTTGACTCCCACCAAGCGTGGAAGGTCCCGAGCTCCCCCTAAGGGGCCCGGAGCTCTCCCTTCCCAAGGAGGAAGCACCCCGATTCCTGGCTAAGTGTCCCGGGCACCTCGGGGCAACACCGCCCCCAGTGCAGGCACCTCGGCACCTCGGTACCGGGACAAGCCTGCACTCAAGCAGTCCGGTGCACGGTAGCTCAGTAGGCTGTGGGGAGCCCTGTCTGACATCCGTACCCGCCGGACCCGGTGATAGGGCTCTGATCCCTTGCCAGGTGGCGTTCTGTTTGCCTCCTTTGGAAAGCATGACACGTCTGTCAAGCCCGTACCTGACGATGGCAGTTTGTGGCGGCAACCTGCGCCTGCCACACCTGCCCTGGCGGTAACAGCAAGGGCGGCGGCGGTTATGCCAGGTACGACCAAGCTCCAACATAAAAGAACTTGAATTCTCACAAGGAAGAGGTATTGAAGCTTAAGCACTTTCGGCACTCTCACTCTCTACTCTCTCTTTGAGGTTTTCTCCGGTTCTAACTTAGCCATCGGAGTGTTCGCCCCGGGATAACTCTCTGGGAACCCTTCACTTTCTCCTTCCTCTCAGGTGCCGCTCGTTTCAGTTAGAAGCCAACTCGTAGCCAGGTAGGAGTGCCCAGATCGTGCAGCATCAGTCTGTATTTCAATTTAATATTAAGAAAAAAAAGCTGTAGACTCTGAAACCTAGCTTTCATACTCGTACCATAGTGAAATAAAAGGGAATGAAAAATAATTCACTGATCGAATTATTTATGAGTTTGACTATGATATAAAAAATATATGATATCTGAAAAACTTGTAACCAGTCAGCTGGAATCATAAATGAGATAGCTAATAAGGTGTTATTTATCAAAATCCATGGGTAGGTTTTGATTGATCAAAACTCTTCCCATACCATATCTTTTCACATCATAGATTTTCCCATTGTTTTAATATATTTTTCTTTACCAAAAAAAGTACACCGGTGAGTCGATCCAAATGAAATCCGATTCCTAATATTCGTCCTACAGTATTTACATACAATTATCAACCCGAGAGGTCGACCCATTTATTTAATTTTGGGTCCCAAAGTTAAAAAACCGAATTCTGAAAAACAACATGATAAATTGACCATATGATATGATATGCTACTTCCTACTTGTACGTGTATGTTGTGGGGACTGAGGAGTCTGTGCCTCTGGTTGGCACTACGGAGATGGCGACCGAATGTCTACAAAGCTTTGGTGGTGTTGCCCTTGCCCAACAGGCCTAGCCAAAAGCAAAAGCTGAGCATGTGCGTGGGCCGTGGAGGGCTCCAACCTCCGAGCCCTGCAACGTACGCTGCATAAAATTAATGGCTGGGATTGTGGTCCACGACATGATATCAACCGGAGGAACACGATACACGAGTCCATCACTTTGTCTCGGGGAGAATAGGGTGTCAATAATATCATCGGTTAGGTTGGTTAGACTTGTATCTTCAGGCTTCGACCCATGTTTCCACTCTGAGTTAAAGTAGTGTCTTTCCTTGGGGGATCACGTGAAATAGAAGTAAAGGTTGAATGGTTGATTCTCCCCCCTCACTTGATGTGTCAAATTAGCAAACATCCGGGTCATCGTCTCATAACCGTAATGGACTGATCTGTAGATATTGTTTCCACGGAAGAAAAAGAAATTTTACTCAAAAGGGGACGAACGGATATTGGTGTAAACTTTCAGAAGAAAGCGAATTTTATGGTAAATATTAGGCAATTCAATCAGGTCGTGTATGTATTAATGCTGACGCCCAATAGAAACCAAATGGTGGGACAAATTTCCCAAGTTCTAAATCCTGTTGTTTGGATCAAATCATCCAATTATATAGCCCAATTACAATTTAAAAATTAATACGTTTTATTTTTCCTATCTTCTCTTTACTCCTACCATCATCCAATAAGACAAGAGGAACTGGCGGAGTAAATTCCCCGGCAACGCCCCCTTCCTTCAATCCAAAAATCAAAACGATCGATTTTCTATTTTTCTTTCAAAGGAAAATTTCGATTTCTTTTCAATAAAAAAAAGCGGACAGTGTATTACCTTTCCTTCCCCAAATTATAGAACCATGGGTCAGGTTGGGCTTAGTTTGTAAAGTCCATATATATAAATGTTCGGACTGGAACTGATTCATGCGTATGGTTATGTGTTTTAGGGCTTGTTCGTTTTTTTCTTTTTTTTTAATTTTTATCTCTTAAGAATAATCTTTTAATTTTAAGAGAAAAAATATTTTTTTGTTTCGTTTTATCTCTTGTCTCTTAAAATGTAATCATACAACTTTTTGTTTTTTAATGATATCCTCCA